AGCAGGAAGTCACAGAACTTCTGATCACCCTCCCTGGAGGCTGGACTGACCACCTGGAAGTGCAAAAGTCTGCCCCACCTGCAGGGCCCATCCTTCACCCTGCAGCTACAGGCCCAGAACGTGCTTTGGGGAACGGTGATGCCTGGCATAGATCCCTGTGAGCAAAAGTCTCACAAGTGTCTTTCCAAGCACAGAAATACCACATGCAAACTTCATGGGATAGACATTCCCTCCAGTCAGGATGGGGTACTTTGAGTGGGATACCTCGGTGAACTCTTGCTCTGGGTTAACAGCGTACAGAGAGGAATTACACACTGCAAACACCACTGGAGAGCCACGTGGCCCAATTTCTCTCCCTACGCGCTGAGTAACCTCGGGTGCAATTAGCTCTGAGGAAGAACGATACTGTACATGTCCAGGCYGGTAACACTGCGTGTGAGGGATTGCAAAATCCAGCCTGCAAGCATGTGAATGAACCTGCAGATGTAGGTGTGCTCCTCCTTGTGCATGGGTGCTCCTGAGGGTGCCTGTGCAGGGAGGCGAGAGGAAGAAGTTGATACATTACACTAAATGTCCAACTTCAGCTTTCTGGCGGATACTTTTCTCATACWAACACATGCACCTGCCCATTCACATCAATACTTGCACTGCTTTTTAGTAGCCTGGGTGCCTGAAGATTAGAGCTCACCATGGTGCAGGCATAAGAAGCCAATGTTCTGGGAAAGGAAAGGGTTACTGAAGATGGACACACTGAGAAGTTGAAAGTCTTGCCATAAGGACTTCCTTCTTTGTACATTTCCATGGTTTCTTCCAAACCCCTCCTATTTTCAACTTCAGAGAGTAGGAGTGMACACCACCAAGTTAGAAAAGCAACAGTCTGAAAACCTAAGTGAGATACAAACCACTAACACAATCCAAGATGGGAAGATAACAAACTCCCAGAATTATTTACTCACAACAATAAAATGTGGAGGAACAGGGGTAAGGTGAAGCAGTCAGTAAAGGCAGGGTAAAAAACAGGCCCCCAACCCCTTGTTCCTACAAGCTGCACATCCCAGGACTCTACTCCAGTGCTGAACACCCTCCTTGTGCCTGGCTCAGTGTGACACACACACACCTGCAGTAAGAGAAATCAGTGCAAATGATTTACAGACTCCTGAAATACCATGGTCTGTGCAGCAGAAAAAACAGACTCTGTTCAACAATGGCTGGGAATGACCTCACCTCCAAGTTTCTTCAGGGATGGGGCTTTGTTTTTGCTATGTGGACACAACATTTTAAAGCATCGGAGGATCATTGTACACACTGCCTGCAAAGACAGCCCTCTGACACCAACCATGCTCCCTCAGTCATACCTTTCTGCACAGGTGGGCAACATGAGGCACTGCTGGGTACAGAACAGAGAAACAGAWGAAGCAGGAGGAATTGTCCAACTCACTACCTTTTTCCATTCAAACAGCACAGCAGCAGCTCTGGGAAGTGGCAGGATCTTGGTATGAGGGTTTTCTCTGAGGAAAGACCTCTCCCCGCCCTTGTCCCTTCCCTGTGTTTTTTCCCTCCCCAACACCTCATTCACCCTTGAAATAATAAAGTTTCCCCATCTCCAGTATTTAACTGCAGGAGCAAAGCGTGCTGTGTAGCAGCTCGTAAAGATGAGAAAAACATTCCTGCTGGAGAGCCCACTCCAGAGAGGTTAGTGCCTATCAGCAGCAGAGGTAAACACACTGTCTCCAGCTCCTCGGGTTTCCTGGCAGGGAAGCAGTGTCCTGCCTGTTACAACTTGTTTTGGATGACAACAGAACACATTTCATGTGAGGAGAGTGTGCCCATCTTCAGCTCACATCAGCCTGCTTATTTCTCTTCACTCAGCAGTAAACATGTTTAAGATTCCTATAAACACCTGCTGGGCAGCAAACCAGCCAAACGTGCTCAATCAAAAAAAAAAAAAAGGAACAAAAAGGCAAACCCCACAACAACAGAAACACCCTCCAACGATGAGGTAACAGTCCTGCTAACAAGGCTCCCTGAGAAGAGTATGTAGGAATATTAAAAAAATAAAATTACCTGACGAAATACTTATTTCAGCATCACCTTCAAAAGAAAGCCATCAGTCACAAAAGCCCATACTATCCTCTGTGCTCGTCCAGCCAATCCCAAACTCCCCAACAGCTAAAAGTGGGAGTAAATCAACTTTGGCACACAGGAATCCCAACCCATGGTGTACACCAAGCATGAGTTCTGCCCCTCAGACTGATCCCTCAACCTTTGACTTAAACATTACAGCCAAGTTAACCTCATGCCAGAGACTCTCCAGCACATGGTGCCAAAGCGTGGTGGCTGACAATGGATGCCAATGATTAGAGGATATTCTCCATGACTCCTTATTCACTTTTACCCAAACTATTTTATATGCTTGACTTGGTTGCACAGCAGAGGTGCATATACCTCAAGAGAGGRCAGTCAGGGCCCCCAATTTTTAAGCATCACTTACTCAAACACTTATACCCTGAGTATCTGATACTTGTTCTCTCCACTACAGACTGATCTGGGGGATAAGARGAGGAGAGGAGCATAAAGCTGGGGAGGATCCACCATGCCTGAAGATTTGCTCTAAGGCACTGACTCTAGAGCAGGGATGGAGARGGGGCATCAGAGGGGCTTGTGCTCCATCTCACGCATGGTTGAGAGGAAAAGAAATATTGTGTCTGAGACCTTTACAAGTTTGCAAGAGGAGGAATCACTTCTCCAGAAAGAGAAAAACATATTTCACTTTCCATACACAGGCTGTTCTCCAAAGCCTTTTAGGGAAGCATGAAGAAACTCCATTAACAGAYATAAGAGATGGAAACAGTAATCTCCTGTAGATCTTCCAAGCCCAGCAACTTTTTATCTTTCTGGTCTCAATGGAGAAGCCCGTTASCCTTTTGCTTAGAAAAATTGCCCAATAAAGAGCTTTTGTATTTTATCATTAATAACTGGAGAGGCTGTTGCATCAGCTAAGTTGAGGTGGCAGCTCTTGGTTGGAGGCATGACTCACAGTAGGACCCCACCTGGGACTTGCAACAGAAAACAATGCAGAAACAAGGGGCAAAGTATTCATTGCTKGGACACTCCCTCCTACACCAGCTTCCCGGGATCCTGGAAAGAGTCACCTCATGGAGTCACAAACACAGCCATCCCTGCCGCCAGAATAGAAAATAAACAGCCAAAAGAAAACAAATACTACTTGTCTTCTGCTCAGATTTCTGATTTCTCTTAAAACAAAACAGGCTTTTAGAGGTAGTAGGGCAAGAGGAAGGGTGGGGAAGGTCACAGATTAACCTTCCTYCTGTTAGCAGGTTCCAGGATTCTGGCTACAAGGCCAAGAAAACATGACACCAAGTGCCCAGTGTAACCACAGCCCTCTGTGATGCTGAGCTATGAGGAGCTGCCTTGCCAGAGGCTTTTACCCTCCCACCCTTTCCAATGGTATTTAAATACCTYCTGTTCACAATGAACAGCAACATGTCTGGCGGATTTGGGAGAATTTGGAATTTTATATAATTGAACTTTAATATAATGCAATTATTTTGCTCATTGTCTGTTTTAGTTGATAGTAATTGTAGTCATCTCCCTGTTTCCAGTTTCAGTCTCAAAGCAGAATGACTTTTAAAACAGAGATGTAAAATTAACCCTGTCTTAAAGCAAAAAGGAAGAACCCAATTCACKAAGAAAGTTGTTTTCTCCTACACATCTCTGTTGTACTCACTCTCAGCCCATTTCTTCCACCCCTTTGCATTGCTGTACAACGCCAAACACCTGACTCAGCCCCTCTCTCCCCATAACCTCTATTTTAAATATTTCCGAGTTGTTTTCTCCCCTTTTTCTACACAAGCCCTCTGCCCACCTGCACAATTATTCTCAAAGCATTTCTGGTGGGGTTTTGCCAAAATGACAGTAAAAGGCTTGGTGAGATTGCATGAAAGGGGAAATGTAAAGTAGACTCGTAAGACACCTCTTCATTCCACCGGGCATATAAAGAGGATTATAACTACGGGATTTATCCTAGCCAAAGAAATCAGATCTGTTACACTGTTGGAACAATAAATGTGTGTTTTTAGTCTTAACATCACTCACAATACAGAACAAATGTACAAGTTGAAGTCCCGTAATGGATTTTGTGCRAGTAGACATTCATGGTGCTCCTTGCACAGCTACAGCATAAAGCTTTAAAACTGAAATCAAGCCTGACTTGTGGGAGCARAAATCAGGAGGTTTCTAAAACATAATGAAAGAACCGATATACTAGAAAGTATTAATAGGCTGAACACACTCAAACATAGCTGAAAACATACTATCAGATAAGCACCAAGCACTGATATTTAAAAACAGCAGCAACATCACAGCCTTTTACAAAACCATAAGCCATTCGCAACTTTTCTCTARCTCCAAAAAGAGAAGCATAAAATGTCACACGACACTGACAGAATTTTCCTTTACTTCAGGAAGAAAAGCGCAGCTTACTGCACTTCGCCCGAGCCCTGCTGCACTCCCGAAAGTTTGCACAAAGCGAGCCCGTTACCAGGCGGGCGGTGCGCCTCTCCAGGGTATGCATTCCCTCCTGCTCTGCATACACTGCTCCTCGCATCAAAGCCGTATTCAAAGCATCTTTGCTGCCTTCCAGGTTCGCASCAGGGCACCGAGAACGAGAGACATCGCAAAGCCGTGGCTCCGGGCTCTGCTGTTCCAGCACGGTCAGATTTGGGAAGGACTCCCGACAGAGAGGGGGTGAGCGCCGGSAGGCCAAAGGCAGGAGAGGGAACCCCTGAGCGCCCGTCTCGTCCCGGGGGCCAAAGCCCCGCTCCGACCGCGGTCGCTGCGCTCACCCCGCGTCCCCCGGCGGCCCGGAAAGGGGGCACCGCACGGGTTCTTGAGGGGCACGGAGCGCCCGGGCTGCGAAAGACGGGACCCCCCTCSCTTCCTTCCCTTCCCTCCCGCCCCGCGCCCCGGGGGTAACTCACTGCGCTCCGGGGTAGCCCCTCCACCGGCCGCGGCCACCAGCTCCAGGTAGGCGGCCCAGAGCCCCAGGGCCAGCGCGCCCAGGGCCAGCAGCAGCCTCAGCTGCCTCCGGCGCCGCAGCCGCGCCAGCAGCCGGCCCCGCATGGCGCCGCTCAGGGCGCCGGGCCCCCGCCGCCCCGGGACATGCTCCCGCCGCCGGCCCTCACRGCCCCGCCGCTCCCACCCTCCCGCCTGCGCGGGGCGGGCCCAGGTGCGGGCGGTGCCCGCCCCCGCGGGGCAGCTCGGCCCGGCTCTGGCTCTGGCTCTGCCGCCGCCCCCCGCACCTGCCTCCGCCCCGGGGCCGCGCCGAGCGCCCGGCAGCGGGGACAGCCCCCCGCGGCAGCGCTGCCGGAGGTCTCCGCTCCTGCCAAGAAAGCCGCCTCCGTGGCGGAGGAAGCTCCAAACCCCCCTCGCAGCCGGTCTCCGTGCCAGCMGGAGAGTTGGTGGATCCCTCCGGTGCGAGGAGGGGAGATGATAACTCCTCTGCCGGCAGAGAAGTAGAATGAGAGGGGACGAGTCAAATTCACGCTGTAACTAAACACAGCTGAATTCATTTTAAAGTGTCTTTCACCTGGCGCAACAGGTGTATGTGCTTGGAAGCTCATTGCTCGGTGAGGAGGAAGAAGGCAGCTGAAGCCTCCAAACCCGCTTTCTGAAGAGCTGACCAGATGATACCTCAGAGGGAGGTGTCACAGGCTCACAGGAATAAAAGGACCGTCCCTGGGTGAATTTGCTGCTTCATTACATATCTCAAGCACACTTTTGAAATGACTTCTCAGAGTCCTTCCTGTGCTGTTGGTTTCATTCACATCATCAAGCTGTCTTGAAGGCTGCAAACTGGATTCCTCCTCGGTGAAGAAAAATGGGAGATAACATTTGGGATGTACATCGTGTATCCAGCTGGGAACKAGTCCAGATTTATCCCTTTCCAAAAATACGTGAGGTGGATGTTGGGTCATTGGTGACAACTGTTTCCCTTCACAGCTCCTTTCCCGCATAGATGTAGCCCTTGTGCTGTGTGGAACCACGAACAGAAATCCTAAGGCTGAAGTCGGTTTTTAAAATTAATGGAATCCTGATAAGAAAAAAACTGAGTTTGAGACCCCTTTTTACAAGCAGCCTTCTTATAGGTGAGGCTGTGCAAAAGGACACTTGCTGTTATTTTGCTTTAAAAATGTGCCAGAGGCCTTTTAAATGGCACTGAGGCACACGGAACGGTGGTGTGAGTCCCAGAAGAGACAGACTGACGCTGGCGGAGTGCCAGCACTGGCTGGGGAGCAGAACAGCATCCCTAGTCCTGGGCATCAAGTGCTGAACACCACAGTCCCAGCATCCAGGCAGCATCAAGAAATGCTATTTCCTGTCCCAAAACTGGGATGGACCAAGGCATGAGAGGTTTCCTCTATAACAATGCCTCACAAAGGTTTCAGAGCCATCTCCCTTCTGCTCTGTGTTGGGGAGATTTCTCTTGTTTAGGRAAAGCACATGCAGAGTTTTATACCCCACTGCAGAGCTGGAAAGATGTTTCTCCAGCTGGRAACAAACCCCATGGTGGGAAAGCCTGGTGAGTGCCTCCCTTGGACATGGTCCATTGTGCAGCTTTTGAGTATGCAATGCTTGTGTTCTTCCTTCAAACCTCATCTGAGGCTGCAGATGCACACCCATCATCCAAGCTTGAATTATAGGAGATAATTCCTCCAGTGTAAACAGAAAGAGCTGCCAATAGCCAGACACCAACAGAATCCGCAAAACTAAAAATGGGAAGCTGTGTGCACTTTAGTCATTACAAGGCAGGRATCTCATGCAGGCATGACACTGTTAGAATTTTTTGGTGGTGTGTTTGTTTGGGGTTTATCCAGCATGAGAGAAATAAACTAAGTTTTTATATTTGTTCCAAAAAAGACTGAAAATACTAAGAGAAGTGTGTAATGAATACAGCTCTAAATTAAACTTTGTTTACCATTGAAAGAGTGAGATGATGTATTCTTAGCAGAAAGTTGTCTGCAATTCTCAAATGAAGAGCCTGATGCTTGAAAAATTACAACTGCACTTTGTTGCATAGTAAAATAAGCAATCATATTTGTTTCTAGTGAACATGGCATTAAAATGGAGAGAAGGGAAAAGTGAAAGCAAATGCTAACAGTAGCATTGTCAGCTTCCAAAAACACAAACAATTTTTTCTGTGATACAGAAAATTTCTCTGGAGCAAAAGCTTAAGGAAATTACTATGCCATGGTGCTATTCGTTACAATACAGTTACAAGAGAACAGCACTAATGAACAAAATTAATCTGAATGTGTAATAAAAAGTAAAATCATAAACTTGAATCGTTCTGCTGTACTTAAAATAGCTTTTTTTTGGACCACTTATTCATTGCAGAAAGCACAGATGTCCAGGAATAAGCTTCTGACAGTGRTGTTTAAAACCACCTCTCACAGAATGTTTTTATCTCAAGTCTACCAGCAGTGTTATATTCMCAAATTCTCAAGCATCCCAAGTCACCCAAGTGCATGTCCTGCACATCTCTCATGTTCACTGTGTGCAATATTGCAGCATATGCTGGGAGAGAAGCAGCAGGTGAGCTGGAAGAGGTGCTGCAGGAACAGGCCTGTGGCGTATGGAGGTGACTSAGACAGGGAGCTGACACTGCTGACTGCCTGATGGACCATCCYTGAATATTGGACAGATTGTCCTGGCTTCAGGACACACTTCTCCCACCTTACCCTGAATACCCACTTCAAAGAAACTGACTCTTTGCCAGAGAAGMCAACTGGAGTATTTTTTGGCTTTGTTTGAGCTGCTATTTGTTTTCTATTTTGGCTATGTTTCCTCATGATAAAAGCAGCCTTTGATACAAGTGCAGCACTTAACATGCATCTCCTGTACTTCCTGGCTCCCCTCTCTAGATCCATCTCTGCATCTCTGCCACTTCTTGTTTTTGCATCTAGTTATCTAACAACTGTTTCTCTGTTCGGTAAATCACTTTTAGCTCCATGCCAACATTGTCTGTAGGGTCCCCAAAGGTTCAATTATCTGCCACTTGCTCCTTCCCTTCTTTCTTCTTGGGTAATTTTCAACACTAATTACAAGTTCCACACCAAAGATMCTCAACTGTCCCTAGACTTTACTACCCTGGTGGCTCCATGTCCTTCTTCTTGACCTCAGCTATGCTCTGAAGCACAAACAATGACTTCATCTCAACATTCTTCATCAAAGTGGCTCAAAGGCAGACATGTTTCTAAAAGGAAAAGGCAGTTTCTGAAGACACAGTTCCCCATTATTTCTCTTTTGACTCCTCAGGAACAGACTGGACTCTAAAAGGCATTTCTGGTGAAGCAACCCCAGAAAAATCCCTGTCAATGCTGCAGTTGAACATTGCTGTAAGGGAATGAGTGGTSCTACAATTAACAAAAGGACTTAGCAAAAGGACCTCCTTGCCCATTTAAGTGGTGCTGGTATGGTGGGCTGTGCTAACATAGTTATATTTTAGCAATAGTTATGCTGCTWACGTTTATATGAAGTTGCCTGAGTTAGGGTTTGAAACTTCCTTTTGCTGCACACAGGGGCCAKGACTGTGACAGGATCACAGCCCCACTGCACTCCTACCACTTGGCTGAGGGGAAAGCCTCATTTGTGATTCTGTCTTGTCACTGCATAACTCTTCCCCATAGGTCTCAAGTCCTCACTGTCCWGATAAAGTTAGATAGAAATGGTTGCCCTTCCTTTTCAGGTGGCAAGGGGACACACTTTCGCATTATTTTCATCCACTACCTGTAGGGACACCTCCTACTTGCAGGACCTGCCCCAAGAGTTAACCTGAAGTATTTTCTGCACATGAGAACAATCATTTGCTATCTTGAGCACACACTCGCACTTCCAGAAAAGGGTTTTTTCTATACTTCAAGCTGAGAACTTTCAAAAGACTTTGATTATGGTAAATATCTAAACCCTGCAAAGACATCTACATGTATTTGATAATTTTGGAAATCCATGTTTTCAATCTAGTCTTACCTAAACTCCTTCCTTCACCTGTTTTAAACATATTCTACTTGGTTTATATTTTAAGTGACTGTGCTCATCATCCTTACTTTTCAAGAAGTTYCAAAGATGCATCATAGTCATGTTATCAGAGACATTACAAGAACACAAAGATGARCAGCATTCCCTGTAGACATCTGTCTACCCTAGCTAGGACTGAAAAGGAAAAAACTGTTGTACTGGATGGCTTAGAAGTGACTCTACAGATAAATGTTTACAGTAAAAGAAAAGCAATTTGATCTCTGAATCAATACAGGAGCGTTCAGAACATCCTGGTCATGCTTCACTAGGGTAAATCCTGATCTTTTTATTAAAATCAAAACCATTTCAAGAGTGAATCCCTTCATGCCTGTGCAGTTAATCATTGTCTTGCTTTAATATTGAAGTGCTTCTGTGTTAAAAGTCTTTCTGGGTTTTCTGAATAAACCCAAATAATCTGTATTTACACATCTGTTCCCAATCCAACAACATCGCAATTCTTAAAATATGCAATTTAGTCAGTCTAAGTGAACAGTCAASGCTATTGAGGGCTCTGTTTTTAAAACTGTATTTCTGGAATTTACTTGAAGGGCAGCCACTCCACTCATTACTCAAAGCTGCCCTTTCTCCAACAATTCATTTGGTGCTAAATGGGACATACCAGAAATCCACCACACTATTCCCAAATACTTCAATCATAGCAGAAATGTTTCCTGTCAATGGTTACCTCTGATGGTCTGTTTTGGACAGAAAGTCCGTAAGTTTTGATGCAGCCTAAGAAGCCGAACAAACTTTATTCTTTTTGTCTAAAACCTTATGAAGACAGCAGTCAAAAGGAATCACTGCAGTTTCCACCTATGTCCAAGTATATTTTGTGCACAATCCCAGCCCACCGGCTAAAAAATGTGTATAGTTCTATAGCTAGACGCACCAATTTAATAAAAACTCTCTAGGGAGTAAAAGGGATATTTTCTTACAATTTAAAGCAACTTGGAAATAAAAAAAGCAAAATATTGCAGAAAAATTAGAAAGAAAAGTCTTAAAATRTCCCTTATCCACCTGTGATGCCACTTTGAATGGGGACAAATAGGACACMTTTATTAGGATTTTGACTGAGCAGGTAAAAACACATTCTAATACATCAAAATAAATGTCTTCGTGAGCTGTAATTCAAAGTCTGAACAACATCACTTTTCATGTTGAATGGATCTACCAGTAGAAACTACACCAGCATGTTGCTCCCAGCTGTTCTCAAAAAACCTATCGATTATCCAAGAATTACTGGCCTACATAGAAACCCTCCAATTCCAGAACATTAGGCTGCCCGGAGAGTCCATCCATACTGGTAAAATGTATGTGTTTCTGAATTGATAATTCCATTTACATAAGCAATTTAAATACAGCTATTGCATACAAGCATATACTGTATTATTATTTAGACTTACCTATGAGAACTGTTAGTCTGCCTTTCTGAGTGCAGTCACAGCATCAATTCACTTGGGAATTACTGCAGATTGTGATATAAGAAGATCACGAGGGATTTTTTAAAATGTCAGTGTTTGTTTTACCTTGTGTAACCTTGCTGTGTAGGGTTAGCTGACACAGCATGTCCCTATAATTAAAGCAACTGTATGAATACTAAAAAATTCCAGAAAATATTGAATATAAATAYACCCTAGGTTTGAAGCCAGAAGAAACCACTAAATGATTTCCTGTTARCTCATGTCATTATATTTCATTAAGTTCTAATGGGTCAAACCCAGTAACTTATTAAAACAAGCTATCTTCTCCAGAGGTAAAAGAATTCTTTGATTTGAAGATAGAGAATTTGTTACCTCCATACCTAGTTTGTTATAATGAGGAAACAAGCACAGTCTTCCTGTTAAAAATGTACGCTTTTTAAAAACAATTAACGTCATGTTCAGCCTACTTGTTGCTGCTCAGCATTGCCATGCCAGGATAGAGAAGCCTTTAGTAGTTTTTGGTCTTCAAGAGACACAAATATTAATCAGTCTTCTTAATGCAAGACAAAATAAGCTCTTGCACAACCTTTTCTCTTCCTCTGAATCATCTATGGGTCTGTGCTTTCCCCATATTTCAACATTCCTTCTGAAAAGTAGGCAGTCCTTCCTTACTTAGATAAAGCCACACAGCGTTTCACCTACCCGTCATTTTCCCCCTAGTTACGCAAGAGATATTTTAGTATCTTGGCTCCCAATAAGAATATTTGTCCAGTTCTAAACCTGTAGTATAGTCTCTTTATGCTTAGAAGCAGATATTTTGGGAATCCTTCCAATTCTATGCTCCTACAATCATAACCTGGCATTAGCTGTATTGAAATGATACWAGTCACACATTACTAACTTAATTTAGGAAAAAGAAGCTAATCACCCTTTGGAGTAAAGGCCATTTTTTGATTTCTACAAAAAAATTGTAGGAAAAAATTCACTAATTAAGGTAGTAGAACTTCTCCCAGGAAACCCTTTTAGAAATGCCAATAATGCTTTATTGACATTTTAAAGAGTAGCTGCCAGTGGTACGAAGCACTTGGCTCTTTAAAGCAGYTCTTGGCATGAAGGTCCACATTTGTTTTGGCAACATTTCACATGATCACGTGATGGCACACAGAAAGAGCATGTACAATACTCTGCACTTCCTGCACTTGGACAAATATTCAAGCTTCCAAATAAAATGAATTTACAGAGTAACAATACCGTAATTTCCCTCCCACCCCTCTCACAGAGGAAGTGTTCATAGCCTAGAGACATATTAAGAATCATGTTCAAACTGCACTTGGATTTTGATACACTAGCAGATATATTAGGAATGTTGTAATTTTATTCTGTTCAGTCTTTCAAGTATTAAAGAATATTGGTAAGGAAGACAGGAAATTAAACATTTACATCCTTCTTCCCCCAATACTTCCTCCTAGTCTTACAAACCTCAATGTGAAAGGTTGAAGTCTTTATCCAGATATACTTCATGGCTTTCAAGTGAGGAAAATGTCATTTCATAGGCAGTTCTTTAACTTGGAAGGGTTGAAAATAAACAGGATTCTACAGGTTCATAAGAGATCTTTTTGCTAGGTTCTCATCATGTGAATAGATGGATCCTGCTGAATCAGGGGTTAAGACTTAATTATGCAGCAATTTTCAGAAACAGCCTTTTAGGCCTTGTAATAACTGATACTTTATCTTCAAACCAGTAGTATGTTATTTCACATACAAGCTCACTTTAATTAGCTTGATTTCTCTAAGMAAGTGCCAGTCAGCTAGGAGAGAGTGAGACTAAATGATGGATAAYATGAAATAAGGAAGGCTACATTGTGTTGGCACCCAAGCTGTTCATGAACCAGTTTGTGAACAGCTCAGCACTTCCAGCTCAACTAATCAGTGCAACATCCTTTAAAACAGGCCCTTGCAAGCTGCAGTGTACTTCAGCACACAGGTACAGACTGTCAGCCACTCACACTGAAGTCAGTGATCAAGAACACATACAGAATTAAAGGCACAGTGCAGGACTGTAAGGGACAGCAATCTTGTCACAAACAGGTTAAGACAACTAAAGTAGGTATTGCTGTCATAAGGGAATTTCCCCTCCTGCATTGATTTAACTRATGCTTTAARAACTTCTTCCTTCTCYAAATCTTCACAGCACAAAAACATCCATCTTTTCCATACATACCTATGAAACACTTTAAGAGGATCTGCACAGTGACTCCCACACTCAAAAGAAATTACCTGYTTTCATCCCTAAGTTCTCAAAGARAAAGGAAGTGCTAGTAGCCTATATGGTGTWTACTTCAGAAACAAGGTATAAAAAGGTAAAGCAGGAAACAGAGGCATTGAAATCCTTTTCCTACTACAGATCTGCTCTCAAGCTGCAAGGTAGACAAGATTTGCTGATGCTGTAATAAAAGCATGAATACCTGCAATTATAAACTGAGCTGAACCCATGTTCTAATTCTTCATGATTTCATCTGTTTTCTAGAACTATGATGTCATGATGTCTGGTATGAAGATAATCACCATATGGCTAGAGAATCATTAWATAGCTACAGTTATAGTTCTCACGTAGCAACTGGGGACCTGCTCTTCCTCCCTAGTTTGTTACCCTTCAGTAGCAACAACTGCTGTAGAAAAGCTAACCATGATTTCTCGTGGTCCACATAACCAAGACATTGTTTAGAGCTACAAAGACAGATAATGCAGTGACTGAGGAAGATATGTGATCGCTCTTATTACAGGCTCCTTCTGTGTAGTGAAAAAACTGGGAGGGAGGGGATGAAAAGAACCTCATCAGTGTAGTATCTCCCTCCCCACCAAGCATTCAGAACTTGTATACATGTTGCTCATCCTTGCAGATGAGTTCTATAATGGGTTATCTTTTCCCATATTATATCAGTTAGGTTTATTCTATTTAGATTAAAACCAAGCAAAGGGGGGGCATTTTGAAACAATTATGCTGTCCAGGAGTCAGACATAAGACATTTAAGTACAGATGTTCTATATGAAAATTTCCAGTTACATCCTGAGGTGCTAAGCACCAAAACAGTAATCATATAAACTATTTTAAAAGCTGCTTCTCACATAGGAAAATGCCAGCCAAAATTCAGATCTTGAACTAGATCCTTCTATGATTATTCATTTCATTATAACCATGTAAGTGGCTTATAATATGCCCCAGATAAAGGCAAAGGACAGCAAACACAGATCCCGACCGCAGATATGAAGATATAGTCACACACACATGTTTGTTATATCAGTCATCATGTACTTTTAAAGTCAGTTTTATCAGGTGCTATCTCTCAGCTCAAGCAGCAATATAATCTGGTACACTAGGGATGGCTCATGTACTGTTAGGACATTAACTGAAGATTTCCTCTAAAGTTCTGTCAGTGGATGCCAGGAAATAGAGAAGTATSGGCTGTTCTTGCATATGATTATCCAAGTCTATAATGTCCCATTCCTAAATTAGGATGCCTGTTCAGCTTCAGCAGATCCGTAGTTCATTCTCTAAACCATAGATTTTTGTTTTCAAGTCTTTTAGTTCTCCTTGAATCTTACGTGTTAGTTTGTTTCCTTGGCGAACCTCTCGTAGAATTGCAAGATCTTGGTCTGGTGCCAAATTCAGAGCTACCTAAAAAGAAAAAGAAAAACAGATTAAGAAAAACAAAACTGTACAAAATACAATTTAGAGAGTATTATATAAATATACATATGAGGTAAATATACAAGGGAGAGAATTCTAAAGGAGACCTTTTCTAGCTAGCAAAGAGGATGTRTAAGTTATAGGATAATGCACATCACAAAAAAAAAGGTGCTCCAGAACAAAAACTAAAGAACAAAGCTTTCATAACATTATGTTCTTGTATTGCTGGCAAGGAAGAAACCTTAATAAAATATAACCAAGTTGACTCATAGCCTGTTGACTCCTTTCTAGTTCCTGCAGTATTTAGAGATCCACAAAAATGGGCAAGTTTAAGTATTTATCAGGTAGTTTGTAWCTAGTTCTAAGTTCCTCAGGAGATAAGATGACATTTTATCATCTTGGGCTATTAAAACTAGAGGGGCTGTAACTGCTGTGGCCGACCTGCTGCCCTCTGAACTGCACAGGATTCAAGTGCAGTTCAAGTACAACACCTTGACTTGGGCAGCGCCACATGGCCTGTACTAAGCTGAATAAAGGCTGCTGGATAATCAGAATTCCTGATGGCAAACTGGCCAGGGCTGACATTTCCTGTCACCCTGCAACTAGATAGCTGCCAAGCCAGTCACCTTTCAATGGCACAGTACTGGAAGCTGCTCTAGAATTCCTCTATTCTCTTAACCCATTATGGTTTCTTAATGCCATCATATAGYTCTTGGTCAAAGATTTTAATATTCAAATAAGGAAATTTAGTCATCTGTAGTCATTTTGACCTGAAGTGATGAGAAGGATTGAACCATCTCGCTGAAGGCTCTGCTCCTTGCAAGTATTTTGTTCCCCTGCCCTCTTGTGGTTAAACAGAGTTAGGAAATGGAGAATACATTTAAGAGCACACCCACAGATATAAAATATACAAGTCTGTAGTAAGATATCATGCACACTTTTCCTCCCCTTTCACATTATGCTGTTAGTCCTTAGAGAATAAAGTTTAAAAACCCACAGGCCATAAAAATATATATTTATTAAAAAACTGAAGCCTTTAGTCAAAATAAATGCATTAGTCTGAGTAAACTGAATTGTGCACCAAAAGTACAGGAAAACAGTGAACCAGTAGCACTGCTAGACTCCTAAAAGAGAGTCTAAGCTATGCCTAGATCATCCTCTCTTGCATGTATTAGATCAATGTCTCATCCTAAACTCCAAGCAACATCAAGGCTGTGGTTTCCCTCCTAAGCTGTTCTGATGTTCATCTACACATCTGGAAGCTACTACACAGAACACAGCTTCAACCTCCAGCCATCACCTCTGCAGTGATTTTTGCAAAGTTACAAATGACATATTAACAAAGTAATAAATAGAATATTCACAATACTTATGTCAATGATCTACCTCCTGCTGGAACAGAACAAAACACTATGGTGCCCACAAAGAAAATAATAATTTGCTTTGCAGGATAAATTTTTGAATCAAACTACTGCCTTGCAATTTTGAGAYGCCTAAGTAACCTACAGGTATCACRTAAGAACTTGACAGTGGAGACAAAAATACACAGCAAATGTGTAGCCAGGACAGTTCCTTGTAAGCTTGATGCCTAATTGATAAAGACAAATATTTTTTTCTTTTCTACAATACATAGGAGGAAAGTTTTACATAGGAGGAAAGCTTTGTCAGATATTGAGATTTAAAGAAGCACTTAGAAAAGGAATTATTTCCTTAACTCTAGGGAAAACACMACATTAAACACTGAGAATACACAGGATAAGCCCATAATAGTCAGCCTCAGAAATGCTTAGTTGTTACCTTATAAATCTGCTTCTCTACATCTTTCAGCTTCTGCTGAAGATGTTTAATGTCATTCTTGAAGCCCTCGACTTCCATACTACGGCGTTTTTCCAAGGATTCACATCGCTGAGTCATGACTTTCAGGCGCTTGCCCATTTTTTCTGAGCGTTCCTATGGAGATGAAAACTCCATAGTCAATACAAAACAAAGGCTGGAAGATCATCACACAGCTAGCAGATGATTATAGACTAATTACCTTAAAGAGTTCTTTGCCAGCATCTCTCTCCTCACGCATCCTAGCCACCTCCCCTTCCAGGGAGACACACTGCTCTCTGTACATGTGGGACAGATGTTTCTCCTGCATTAGCTTGTCTTGCAGTAACTAGGACATAGGAAAAACAGAAAGCATCAACTCAAGACCCTGCTTACAAAATCTGGCAAGTATGCTAACATTGCCAATATGACAGTAAAATAAAAATCAACAGCTGGAACTAGAGCTAATGAGCATGTGAGGACAATATTGTAATATCAGTTCCATTACCAAAACCTTTCAATTAAGTTACCAGTTTCATATGACTGCTCATCATTAAGAGTAGCATTCAACTAATACTGCAACTCCCCTTTTCAGAACTCCCAGCCCAGTACTGCATGTCAGCAGCATGTGCATTCAATGGTAAATGAAAACAATTCACCATTGCCGTTTATTTTCCAATTCCTTACTTCCTGTTTATCCACCTCCAACCTCCCAGCTTCTCACTGTCAGTATAGTGGAAGAGGAAGAAAAATTCTGACTACTGCAGAAAAGCTGGAGGACATCAATTGAGAGGACTTACTCTCCCCTGACAGCAGTGAGGGAGATCCAGACACAGCATTTTAAGACCATTAGCTCAGAGCACTTAGAAGAACAGAAAGACATTTGCAGCCAGCAGGTTAAAAGCTGTTGGCCCCACATACCACATGGCTTATAGAATTAAGGATTTTTCTAGGCATGAAAGAAACTGATAATGACATGCTACCATAAATCCTAAGTATACATTTTATCTGAAATTTGACAGTGATGCTGATTTTGAAGCAGGAGAGGTTTTTTTTTTTTTTAGATTAGTGCCAGCAACAATGTAACTTATGGCAAGCCAGTACAGCTTTGGAACTGCTGCTGGTGGCTGTCTATTGTGCCAGAGCCAAGGTGCTTGCAATTTTCTAGTCAAAAATTGTTGAAGAGCATCTACCCAAGACAAAAAAAATTACCTTTATTTCTCTGCTGGAAGGTTTTGAAGCTCCATTACTTGGTTGAAACAACTTCACCTCGCTGGGCTTCTTTTTTCCTGCCTCTGTGCTGAAAACAAGCTGATCCAGATCTTTGCCAAGTTTTCTCAACAGACTGTCCTTCTCTGCCATCCATGCTTTCTCATTAGCTCTGGCATCAAACTTGAGCTGGAGAAAGTCACGGGTACTCTCGTATAAGAGATTCTGAGTCTTATGGAGCCTGCAAAAAAGGATCCCAGGGGAGTTAACTTCTTTCCTAGTGCCTACCTTAATTTCATCAGTCATCACTGCAAGTTAGAAGAAGCATGGGAGAAAAATATAGGTGATCTCTTAGGGCATTTAGCTCTTCTCATCTAATGAAAGAAGTGCTGTTCTTCCAATGTGAAAGAGTATTTTTAATATGCAGATTATTCCACTCATCTTCCACACACACTACCAGATGGCTGCCTAATCTGCATTTCTGCCGGCTGCAGGAAGCAACACACCATGTGATAAATGTTTCTATTGCTACCTCTCTTTTCATCTCATGATTGCATCATGGGCATTTTCTCACACTCACTTCTCTGTTAAAGTTTTTATCTTGTCCTGGTCCCTCTGATGACGGACTTCAAATTCCTCCATCTGAATCCGCCTGTCCTCAAGTAGTGCCTCAACCTGTTCCTTAGCTAATCGTGTCTGTTCTTCTATCTGAGCTTGCAGAGACTTCACCTGAAGAAGCAAAGAAAGACATTACTGAACATGACCTCACACTGGTTCTGCTCCTGTTCTTGCAAGTCACTTAAATTCCAAGGTTCAGATCAAAACCTGTACCTGATAACACGTTTGGCAGCTCTACTTTCTCAATCTTTTGCTTTTAAGTATTTCAAACAACTAAAAAATTTTTTATAAGATCATGCTATAGGCAAGAGAGACACACCATAAGCAGCAACAATAGATTGAAGATATTGTTAAGATTTAAACTGTACACATCTAACAAATCCTGTGGAATATGCAGAGACACATCTGTACCTTTGGTTGAACAAATAATGATAATAACAAAACAACCACCACCACCTTCAATGTCTGCTGTGCAAGTTTTTCCATTACTTGCTTTTCTTGACTCATCCTTCCTCATACTTCACATAGAGCTTCTGACACCTTCCCCAATTCATGATTCTGCACATTTTATCTTTCATTCTGTCATGCCACCTATATCTAAATTTTCGTTGAAGTCTAGAAAAGGGAGCATTTCCTTGTATCAGTGCATCTTATGGGGGCTGCCTAATACTGTCTCAGACACATTGCTTTTGTCAAACTTACACAAAACACCCAAYTCTGCACATCCTCAGTGAGTTTAATGTAAATTCATATCTGCTATCAAATTATGGGAGATAAGCATAGAATGTACAATTGATGTTAAGGACAACATATTTCAGCTGACATTACTGGAATATCTGCTTACATAAAGCTTCCAGAATCAGTTCTTAAATTTACATTCACAGCAAGGAAACAGCTAAGTAAACTGACAAAGTGTGAATCCATAGTAAGATGCAGGGATTTATAAAACTGGCACATCTACATCTTATCTAAGCAGAAGCGTATTTTTTTATCATAATTTTCTGCAAGCCAGTAATTATGTCCACCAGTTAGCAAATGCTTTTACCTGTAGTAGAAGTGTCTCATCATCTCTTGGATATCTCTCAGGACCTTCTGGTTTCTGCCCTTTTGCAGATGGTTTTGAAGTGCACCTCTCAATACCTATTGAAGAAATTTAAAACAAGTAGAAAAGTAACACAAGTAGATTGGTTTTCCAATCTACTTGCAGCACCTTTCCAAGAATGACATATTGTGTGTTCTGGTGGGCCTTCAGGAACAGGAAAAGGCTTGCCATAYTACAGTCACAAGGATTTTTAGGAGGGTGAGCTGAAAGAATTCTAGAACTTAGGGTGATCCCATAACTTTATTCCCTGCATCACACTGCAGTATTTAGGCAACCTCCTAAGTTTATTGGGATATATAGAAAGACAACTTGACATGTTTTGTTAAAATAAATGATGAGTAGACACATGCCACAGCTGCACAAACATCAAGCCTTGAACAAGTTTTGAGATTGTTGGCTAATTTCAGCCAATTTAGATGAGGCTATTATTTCAAAAGAGAAAATTAGTATGTMAGCTTATGGACCCATGCTACTGTCTACACTAAAGGCAAGCAGAATCTCACAGCTTGGAATGGCTGTGGCAAAGGTACCTGACCAGTTGGTACCTGTGGAGTTCTGGAACAGCCATCTGATGGTCATACAGCCTCTTCCTTAGCTGAGCACATCAGGGACACCAGGGCCAGCTAAGGTTGTTTTAAAAGATTTTGAACCGAAGCCAAAAGTACTGCATGCATATGTATGGACACATTTAGGGAACTAAATGGAGATTCACTGGAGTATTCAGTCAGGAATTATTTTGGCATACAGAAGACAGACAGAGAAACAAGCTGAGCTGCTGTTACTCAGCTTAGTGTGGTACCTGCACTAGAGACATCATCCTGCTGTTCCTGGGACTCTGCTGGCTTTTGCTTAACAGTAACCTAGAGAAACAAAACATCTGCACTGACCATCTGACTTCCCCAAAGGTGAAATGGTCAAGAATAAATCTTAAAAAGTTAAAACAAGATATCCAAAAGACCAGCATTACCTTATCTTTAGGCTGATAGGCCTAATTTTAGAGCTACCCCGAACCAGGAATTTTAAAGCTTCTGCAAGATTTTTGAAGCTTCTGAGTAGTGCAGAGCAACCATGAACAATGCAGCAATTTCAGCATTTTTCTGCATCTTATTCCAAAATAAATCCTACATTTCTATCATAATCTCTGTATGTCTGAATCACTCATGACTTTGAATTGGTTCAACTACATTGCACATCATATGCGCTGCCATTTAAACAATGCAACATCATTTCTGAAATATGCAACACAATGTTATCTAGAGGGGATGGTTCTTCAGCAGTCTTCTGACCAGGAAACTGCTGCAGCAACCTTGACACATTCTTTTTTTTTCTGAAGCCTTAAGAGATAAGCACTCTGAGATAGCTGATATTCAAACACAGTGTCTGGTGTTTTTCTGCACTTTTTTTTTCTTTTTGGGGTATTCTTGCCATCTTCTTGACAACCAGATGACTTAAGATTTCTATCTGATATTTTAGAGGCTGACCTGGAGGCATGTTTTGAAGGTAGAAGGAGGCTGATGCTACGAGAACCTATTTGCAGTGTGCTTGTTCTCACTTACCTTTCAGTATTTATACTAAAGCCTGATGTTGCTTCAGATCCCTCCTGTTTTGGGCTCATTTAGCAAGCTTTGACTTGTGGGACAGATCTGATCTGTGATCAGTATCTAAGATACAGATACTCATGCTACAATCCAAAGAAGAGTTCTACAGAAAAATGGAACTTGCCTTTTGTGGAGGCTCCTTACGAAAATATGTAACTTCTTCATCTGTTCCCACTAAAGCCAGGAGTTGTTGGATTCTTTTTCTGTCCTCCAGTTCCCTGGAATTCAAGGGAAGTGGTCAGCAGATTGTTTTTTAAAATCCATCAAGATATTGTGACACATTGTATTTTTAGTTTACTTGTTAATGCTTTCAAGTTTTCCAACCTATTGCAGTTCCTGAGAATACTRCTTTAAAAACAAGCTCCTGAAGGCATTACTGATGTTGGTAATATTAGAACATCACCAATTCTGCAGGRATTGGAGAGCATTTCTCTTTTTAAGTAAGACAATACTATGTAGGCTGATATAATAGCACATAGTGGAAAGAATTTGCACTCAGAGTTATGAACCACCTACACTACTTTCAGGTTGTAAATGTCCATTGTTTTTAAAGCAAACTACATTAAGGGCTGTATCAGACTTTTTATCCCACCCCTGAAATGTGCCAAAGCACACCAACACATGTTTTGACTTAAGTTTTTAAATCTTTCACAGAAAACTGCATGCTACAGCAGGGAAAGAGAGTGAGGAAGGAGGAGAAGCACATACAGTATCTAATGAATTGACCACAATCCCTATTCCCTGTTCCCCTGTGCTCCTCAGGAGTAGAGGAGATAGAAAATTCACCAGTGAAATTGAGCTGGGAAAGAAGAGAGGTGTGGGGAGAAGGTATTTTAAGATCTGGGTTGATTCCTCATTATCCTAGTCTGACTTCATAGAATGATTTAAGTTGGAAGGGACTTCAGAGATCATCTAGTTTCAAACCCCTTGCCATGGGCATGGATACCTTCCACTGGTTTCTCAGAGACTTGTTCAACCTGGCCTTGAAAACTTTCAGGGATGGGGCATCCACAGCTTCCTTGGACCAGCTCTTCCAGTGCCTCGCCACTCTCATAGAGAAGAATTGCCTGCCAACAACTAATCTAAACCTGCCCTCTTTCAATTTAAAGTCATCCCTTCTTGTTCTGTCACTGCATGCTCCTGTAAAAAGTCCCTCTCCAGTTCTCTCACAGGCCCTTTAAGTGCTAGAAGGGCTCTCTGGAGAGTTCTCTTCTCCAGGCTGAACAATCCTGACTCTCTCAGTCTGTCTTCATAGGAGAGATGCTCCAGCCCTCTGATCATTTGATTGGCCATAATTTCCCCAAGTCAAGTCTGTTTTGCATGTGATAGTAACTGGTGAATGACCCTTCTCTCCTTTTCTTGACCCACAAGTCTTTCCCTGCATTTTCTCTCCCCAATTCAGCAGACAAGGTGAGTGATGAAGTTTTGGTGGCCACCTGGCACTCAGCCAAGGCCCAGCCATCAAAGTCAGCTTCAATCAGAATTTCACATTCAAATTGGTAACATACGTTTAAAATCTGAACCAATGTTCAATTTCTGCTCTTCCTTCTACTACCAGAATAGGAGGAATAATAAGTGGAAACCTATTTAGCAGCCCAACCGATTGCACTGCACTTCCATGACTGATTTGATTTTGTAGGAGCCCGCCCTAAGAAGTGTGGAATAATTGCTGCTCTGAAGCCTCCAGGTCTGGCTAAGAACATCGTGCATGAATTGCTGCTGGCAGTGACTCAGCCCCCCATCTAGGACAGCCCACCTGATTTTCAGCCTGTCATTCTCCGAGTACAGCCGAAGGACTTGTTCCCTCTCCTGGAAGAGGTACACTTGCATATCACTCAAAGCCTTTTGCAGCTCCGCAATCTCCTCTTCCAAGTGACGGACTTCCCATTGCAATTGGTGCTAAGTGGAGAGAATGAGGTACTTGAAATGATACAGAGCACTGGGCAACACTCACAAACTTCAAAGCGCTTATGTTCTCAGCCTATGGCTGGCAAAAAAAAAACCAGCCATAAATTGTTTTATTCTCCCACAATATTTGACCAGATGAGGGCAGTATTGGAAAAATTATTTTAAAATATTTCATCTGGGAATCCAGGACCCCAGAATCACTGCCACTACACTACAGCGAAATAAGGCCTCAGCTTGGTTTTCCAGTTTCCAGTCATTGCACTTCCATACTTGTGGTCAGACCACCAGACGTACTGGGAGCCTGATCTGAGTCAACAAATACCTAGCAAAGCCTCCATAACAGCATTTATTTTTAAAATAAATGACTGAAGAATAAACAATAATATATATATATGGTTTAGCAGTGAGAAATCCAGCTACTTACTACATTTCTATTTTTTCTACCTGGTGTGGGAGGCTAACAGACCTTTCAGAACACCATTCCTGTATGAAAAAAATGCATTCTTTTGGAACCTGCCCCTCTTTTTCCCACATGACAGTAAGTTGTACAGTACATATTTCCCCAAGCACTTTCAGGCTGCTTCAAGCATGGCCAGTACTTGAGTAAGCACCTCAATCACCTCAGAAGTGACTGTTCTATTCCCAAGGGACCATCCACCTTGACAAATATGACTACTGGGCAGATACATGCAATAGCCCCTATCAGAACCTTGCATATCTTACAGATACTCTGTAAGATTTCTTCCTCTTAGAAGGGAAGTTTTTAGGGTTTGGAGTTTCTTTTAGATTTTTATTTATTTGCTGTGTAATTTACCACTTAATAGCTTATGGCCAAGCTTATGAATTCCTCGGCAGTAAATATGAATTATATTCATAACTCAAACCCCATTAAATTTGGACAAAAGAACATCCATTCATGAAAAAAAAAAGAAAAAAAAAGTTGGACAATGTGGAAAATCAGCATCTAAACTCAGGCCYTAATATTAAAAAAGATGCAAATTCCCATTGTGAATATATAACCRAGCTGTAATAACTTTAGAAGAAGTTCCTACAGGCATGTTTCCATTTGATTCGACASAGGACAGACAGATATTAAAATCAAGCCCCAAAATCTACATATTTCTTCCTAGCTCTACCATGTTACTGGTAAATCCTAAGGCATCTCTGCTGAGTTTTTTTCAAGTGAATAAAAATACTAAGCCTGTAAATGTAGTCCATCATTGTTAAAAAACTCATTTCCTAACCTGATCGTCATATGTTTGTTTGTATTTCTCCAGCTTTTTTATCAGCTCGTCATGTTCCTCGTCAAAATCAGCAATCTTCTTGCGGTAATGTTCCAGCAGCTCCTGGGAGGGATTGAGACTGGCCAAGCGCTCACTGACTGAGGGGAGAGGAGTGAAGTCTCCCTGGCTTTGAGAGCGGGAATCAGCACATCCGGAACAGGCACGGGGRGTTGGCAGCCTAGACAGAAACAGTCTATTTTTAATAACATGTAAGCTTCAGACAAGAAAATTAACACACATTCTAAAGTACCTAAAAAGATGTTAAATTTTTACAGAGATTTAGTTTAAAACACTGATTAGCTTGACTGTGCTCTGGATATTAATAGGAGATCACAGCATTTAGGAGAACTAAGAACTCAGAAAAAGAACAGCTTGCAGGTGTATTGTACTGTGAAGGGCCCAGCTGATGGAAAAGATAAAAATAAATGTTATGGAAGCAAAGACYCATAAGTTATGTGGGGAGAACGAACACAAAAAGAGGAGAAAAAGACTAGCAGGACAAAACACAGGGGACAAAACCTCCATTGTTGTGCAATTAAAAGCAGCAGCCACTGTAAAATAAACAGGAAAAAAAAAAATCAGTGATACCACCCGATACCCAGAGAGAAAAACACTTTCTAAAGACAGAAAGTTGAATAAAAATGATAATTCAAGCTAGTTGATACACCAGCCATTACAATTTAAGGTGTAGGTCTGGGAATTCACATGCTTTCCTTTCTGGTATACTTGATTTTCTTATGGTGCACTAGCCACTCCAATTATTGGAGCGTTAGTCTAGGAATTTACATGTTTTCCTTGAAAAACTTGATTTTCTTATTCACATAGCTTGTCTACCCTTGACAGTGAAATAAAAGCTGCCAAGTTATTGAATCTTATGTTTAAGTGCTAGATGGAAAGCAAATTAATGCTACTGCTACATAAATCAAATCAAAGATATATATAATCATATACTGTGTATTCCTTGAAACACTGCTTAGTGCAAACATTTACTCTGCTCAAACAAGCACAAAATTTGCAAAGAGCTGCAGAGTTTTAAAAAATTTAGAAAGCATTCTTTTCATTATTTATGTTGATGTGACAAACTGCAGTGTTAAAAAAAAACACCTTAGAAAGTGTTCTTTTCTTTATGTTGATATGATAAACTTTTGTAAACGATATTACGAGTAACAGAAGCTAAGTCTCCTGACTGAAGAGCTGCTTAGTGAAAACACAGCTCAGAATCTGGTCCCGGAGAATCAGGAATTCTGATGATAAAGTGATTAGGCAGGTGACACTGAGGCAACGGCGACCTTTGTGGTCCCCTCACCAACCGAACTCCGATCAGAACCCCAGTGCACATCGATGAAAACTCTGGGCACCGTAGGAAAGTATTAAATATGCAAAAGTTCAAGTATTTAATACAGGAACTTGCTGCAGGACAAGAAATACCTTAAACAATATACTTAAAAAAAAAAAAAAAAAAAAAAAAAAAAAAAAATAAAAAAAAAAAAAAAAAAAAAAACATTGGAAGGAAAGAGGTAACTCGGGCACACGGTGAGCGCTTTACTGCTGAAGAGCAGCAGAAACGGAAAGATGGAAGAACAAGCAGAGCAGGCAGAGGACCGGACCAAAAGATGAAACCATTCTAACTCGGCAGTAAGGAAAGCGCTCCGAGAGCTGCGGTGTCCCGGCAGGAGCAGCYCCCACCCTCACTACCTTCTGCAGCACGGGATCCGTGCAGGGCAGTCCATCACGCTCATCGCGACCCTGCGGAGCGTCCGACTCTCCGCGGGTGGGGAAGAACGGCTTCGGGAGGCCCCGGGAAGCTGGCGGAGGGGGGATGCCCGGCGGGAGCCCCGCTGGAAATGCCCCGGGAAAGACGTCCGGGGATGGGGGTCCCGCCGCTGCAGCCGCCGCCTCCGCCTCACGGCCCCAACTGCCGAGCAACCGCCACGCTCGGGCCCGCCGCGGCTTAAACGGCACCACACCCCACCCCCGCCACCTGCTCCAATCGCAGACAGGCTTTCATGCGGGGCYGACCGCGTGAGCCAATCAGCACTAGCGACACAGACGGCACGCGCTCCGCGCGGCCGCGATTGGGAGTTGTAGTCTCTTGGCGTGCGGAGCCGTCATGGCGCGTGCGCGGCCATGGCGGGGCGCGGGGAGCCCGTGAGGGGAAGGAGTTTGGGGCCTGCGSTTATTGAACCTGCTTTTGTGATGGCAGCGATTCGGGCTGCGGGCTAAATAAATGCAGATTTTATCCACAGCACAAAAACGCCCAGCAAAAAACGCCACTCAAAGCGCCCATTTTCCTTTGAAGATGACCTAGTTTTAGGAAGCAGCCGCAAGAAATCGCTGGCTCAAATTCTGACTGAATTTAATGTGTTCTTTAGATCATCCCGATGCCTTTTAGCYTCTTTATCCCCCTCAAGTATTTTCAGTAGTACCTAGTAGTGGTATTGCCATTTAGGCAACAAATGATTCCCCAATTTATTAAGTGTATTGGAGAAAAAAAACAACAATTTGCGCAGTAATAAGCCAGGATTCTTTTTTCCTT